CGCGAAGAATTAGACCAGTCTTTCGGGGCATATTCTGATATACTTTAGATACGGCCCCCATACAGTAAGAGTCTATAGTAGGGCTACTATTAAGGTCCTACTATATCTGTATTATGAATATTGTTATTACTATTCAACTATTACTGAGTGGGGGCCGTACCCAAGATATACTCCTAACAAGGAATCTTAAGGAATAATGGTATCAATAATTGCCTATCGTCTCCATTGTAGTTCCTGTTTTGGGGGTTACCTTATAGGATCCTAACTATACAGTTAGATCAAACAGGAACTGCAATGGAGACTAAAGCTATTCTGGCTTCAATTGAGGGTGGCCTGAAGCCCCGAGTTCCCAACCCCCAAGCCTCCCCTTTACGTCGTGATTTGGGAACCAGGGGCGGCTGGTGTGATATTGGGGCGGTGCTCTAGGACCACTGGAAGTGATTTACTTCATCAGAATGGGGTTTTGAGAGCGATCAATGCTATGTTAACGGCGAGACAACAAGGGAGCTGAAGCGGATTTGGAAATGCTTTGGACAACCCGAAGACTCTCAGCCCTGCCTGACCCTCTTAAGCCTTCAACCCTAAACTCTAAGCCCTGAAAAGTCTATAGGGTTTCGAGCACGAAAAAAGTCGAGTTTGGAGAGTTTGAAAAACGCGAGATGGAAGAATAGGGCCGATTTAGGATTTCTGCTTCTTTGGGATTTCGGGAGGGCTCAGGGTTGCTGCACGCCGGGCCTCCGAGGGTGTGCGGGTTCGTGTGGCGAAATTGGGCAGAAGTTTGACTCGATGGACCGTCAAGTTTCTGGGTCGGCGTGCTTCCGACCCTCTACTCTCTTCTTCAACAACCGGGTCCCAAAAAGTTCAAACTAAAAAGTTTAAAGTTCGACCTCTCGAAGTTTGCAAGTCCCAGCATGGCCGGCACAGAGAACATCGAGGTTGCTATCTTTCAAAGCGGCCAGAGTGCTTGCAGCAGTTGTTTCGAGCCCGACAAATTAAAGCTTCGAGATTGAAGGGTTCGAAGTTCGACGTTCGTTTAACTGCCAACTCGACGTGCTCAAACCCTCGAACCATGCTACCTTTTAGAATACGGGAGTTTCCGAAAATAGGGGACCCCAATATAGTACCCTAAATAGTAGGATCCTTATTATAAGGACCCCAAAATAAGGTACCGCTAATTTTCGGAAACTCCCATACTGTCACAACTGGGAAATCGTCGAATTTCAACCGACTGAGCTTTAAAATTTCGGGCACCAACACCCACGCTCGGGACGCCATTCAAGCCCCTACACACCCTAAAACCCTGCATGCAAAGCCCAAGCCTGTAAACAGTAGGGACCAGAGTGCAGAATCAAAAAAAAGCCCTAAACCTTAACCCTGAACCCTAAACCTGAACCCAGAAACTGGGAAAGACGAAACCTCCCAAAACTCAACCAAAACTACCTATAGTCTCCATTGTAGTTCTTTTTGGGGGTTACCTTACGGGATCCTTAATATATAATTGGTTAAACCAAAAAAGGAACTACAGTGGAGACTATAGGTACCATCCAACACACAGCAGACCATAACCCGAATCTCTTCCGGGTTTATGACTTGCCCCCCAACGCTAAACCCTGCACCCCAACCGAATCACGTCCTACTTGGAGGGTCGGGGGACTTAGTAAGCAGGTAGTAAGTAGACTTATAAGTACTCTAAAGGGGCCCTAATTGGGGTTATGGTACTTATAAGTCCCTAAAATAACCAGTTACTCAGTCCCCCGACCCTCCAAGTAGGGAGCAGTTGGCTGAGGATCGTGCCGGGGAGTGGGAGCAGCCTCTTTAGCCCCCGCCTAAAGGTCTTAGAGTCGGTCCCTCCTGTTCCTTTTGAGGCAAAAGTCGCGGCGAGCAATTTCAGGGTTTAGGGTTTAGGAGTTTAGGGTGTAGGGTTTAGGGTTTAGGGCTTCGGAATCCGGGGATCACTGAAGATGGCACAGAACTCAGATTCACGGTTTCTACCTGAAACCACAAAGACACTCGAAGTGCTAAACCCGAAGTCCAACCCTCAAGAAACCTGGGCAGTAATGGGGCCAAACATGGGGTAGCTACGACTGCATTGCCTCTGCAAAAATGCTCAGCGAACCCACTGATTCAGGATTGGGGCACGAAGCCGTGAAAATGAACATGTGTTTGAAGCCAAGCTTACGTAATACTCCCATTGGAGACGCGACCCTAAACCCTAAACCCGAACACTTGTAACATGCTCAGCAACCTTCGCTTGTCTCCGAAGAGGCCTATGGCGCAGAGCGGATCGGATGTAAAGGCTTCAAGGATCCTAGGCCAAACCTTATGCTAACTATGACTCAGGGGCCGAGTACCGTGGCCAAAACAAGGTTAACCTTTTCAATTAATGGTAGGATTATAAGAACCCCAAAGGGTTACAGGTTACCTGCTCTGCTACTATTATGGATACAGAAGGGACTGCCATGGGGCCTGGGTTTTTGCACACCCAGTGTTTTGCACTTTTTGCACTACTTGTTCGGTACTTGTCGTTCAGGGTTGCTTTGCATGCTTCGGAAGGCCCTCTGGACCCCTGGAAGTCCTGCAAGCCGTAGTTATAAGCACAAGCCTTACACCTTACACCCTAAACCTTCAGCAAAACCAAAAAAACAAAAAAAACAAACAAACCAAAAACAACAAAAATTTCAAAGATTTCTGCACTAGTCGGAATCCTTCAGACTAGTGCGGAAATCTTTGGTTTTTTGTTTCTTTGGTTTGTTTGTTTTTTTGGTTTGTTTGTTTTTTTTGGTTTTTTTTGGTTTCCGCCACCGCTGACGTGCCCGGACAACCTTCCGCTGTGGCTGTTCTTTTGGGTGTAGGGTCTACGTAAACAAGACTACTGTCTAATCTATCTTATGTTATGCTTATAAGCAGTCCGGCTGCTTATGATTCCACGCAGGCTTTCTGCTTATAAACAATCCGGCTGCTTATAAGCAGGCTGTCTGCTTATAAGCAATCCGGCTGCTTATAAGCAGGCTGTCTGCTTACAAGCAGGCCGGTTGCGGCCTTTTGCTTATTAGCCCTGCTTCTGCTTATAAGTAATATCCTGTTGTTTACAGGCACTCGGGGGCCGTATGAGTAGCTATTCTAACCCCACCCACGCGTGCGCCAGACACCAACCAAGACGGAGAACACGAGAACCCGCACCAATTGCACAAACATTACCGTAAATTTGATATCCTGACCTGTTGCGTGTTTGATATGGAATAACATGCCAAGCTTATCTAGCATACCACACGACCTGAATTTGCAATTATTTCCGGTTTCACGGTGTGTGCTAAGAATTCAATGGACCAAGCACCATGTAAACCATAGGGATATATCAAGGGGAATCGCGAGGATGGAAGGCATCCAGATGGGCCTCGACCATAAGGAATCGTGGAGACTTATCTCTTGAACACGTGGTCATATACTGCCGCACCATGTCATAGAATAGATACCAGGTGCTAGAAAGTCCCTTCTACACGTGGAGTTTGCCTTTTTATACAAACAAATATTGCAGACATACATGTAGATAAGATATCTGACCATCTTCCATCTATCTATCTGCCTATCCATGTATCTATCCACCTATCTATTTGTCTACCCATCCATCTAAACATTCATATACATACTGGTCTCAGCATGGATGATGTCACCGACCTCTTAACCTGGCAACTTAGAGATATTGTAAAACCCTGGCACAATCTATGACAGGATATGTTCTGGCACCGCGCAAGAGACAAAGCACACGTGCATAGTGTATATGCTTTCGCCGATTTGCAGAGAAATACCGTCTGGACACGGTCACATTAGCTGTGCGATGTTGTGGGGCCCATTATAGCAAGTCATTGAGCAATGCGGCTGTACTGAGATATTGCAATAAACATTGAACGGAGTACTCACACGCCACAGCCTTCAACGAGTCAAGACATAGGGGAATCAGAACACGGAAAGTCGGCTCTGCCCCCGAGGGTACCGTGTGTTAAAGTTGTAGAATACGCTGGAACGATGTATGAAGTAATTACTCATGTTTAATGCTTCGTTTCATTTCGCTTACAAGCGCTGGCGTATCTGCCGTGCACTTCGTATTGAGGCAGTAGAGCGTACCATGGTAGTGCAAACACAGAAGCAGTGCATGCATAGGCTTGTGAGTGTATGTATCCCTGTATGAGTTAACGAAGGCATGCCCGGGTTTCTGTGTGCATCGTTAGTTACAGCGCCATAAAACCAGATGTGTATAATATATGTGTTCCCCTGCAATATATACAGTTTTGCGATAGTCATTGGGGTTGCGGATTGGTCTGAGACGCCACAGAAGCAAGTCGTACTGACATGCTGAAATACTACAGTACAGACTCAACTGCGTAGTACTCTCGCAAACACACAGACCTTCAGCACCGAGTCAGGACATCAGGGGATCAGAACACGGCAAGTCGGCTCTGCACCGTAGATTGCCGGGTGTTAATGTGGTAGGTTTACGTGTTAAAATAAGCTGGAATGATACATGAGGCAACTACTTAAATGATTTTTTCATTTCGCTTGGAAGCAGCTTAGTGGATTGTGGTGGTAGAGCATTCCACGGTAGTGCAAATATACAAAAACACATGTACGGGCTTTTGAGTTTATGCTTGCGTGCATGTGTATCTGTAAGAACAAACATGCCTGCGCATTCACGTATATATACATGCACATATGTAGTGCATAATGTTATACTTTTGTGAACAGTAGCATGCGTAAATGCATGCGTGCATAGTACAATTCTATATGAGACCAAGAAACACAGTACTCAAAAAACCCAGGCCCCATGGCAGGCCGCTCTCTATGGATACCAATTTCAGGGACAGCTCAGGTATTTGGGGCTTGTCCTCAGTCAGAAACCCTGGCACGGAAGCAGTGAAACCCAAACAACTAAAACTCTCGACGTGAAGCCCTAAGCCCCACACGTTAAACCCTAAACGGCCCTAAACCTCACTGAGCTCCATCACCCATCATGGAAGATTTGAACTGGATGGTCATATCTGGAGTTGAAGTGCTTCCAGAGGTTCCGCAACCTGAAGAGGGTTCGAAGCGGGGTTAACGACCAAGGTTAGATTTCTTGTAAAATTAGGGTTTCGGATTTGAGGTTTAGGTGTTTGTGGTTTAGGGGTGGCCGACAGACGGCCTTGTCACAGTCGCCAACTGACCTTTTTCTTAGCAGAACAGGACCACCATTTCTAGAAATCCTTTTACAAAGCGTTACAGTCGCCTAAACCCTAAACCCTAAACCCTAAACCCTAAGCCTACCTTGTTAGGTGCTCGGGTTTCCAATAACTGGACTTTGAAGTAACCAGGGAGAGAGAAAAGTATAGACTTCTATTTCATAATGGTGCCTTTAAGGAACAGGTCCCAAAAAGAGTATCCAAGTAGGGTACTCCAAACCCAGGATAATGGTCTATGATGCAGGTCGGCTAGTATCTCTGGAGTGTGACTCGGCACTTGGATCCTCAAACCACGCAAGTCGTGCCGCGACCCAAGACCCCCAACCCTAAACCCTAACCCCCAAAGTCCCTGAACAAAAATACTCTCCAACGTAGGGCCTGAGATCCTAAAGAATGGAGGTCCATGGAGGTCCTATAACCTAAACCCTAACCCCCAAAGTCCTTAAACAGTACTCTGCAACGTAAGGCCTGACATCCTAAAGCATGGAGGTCCTAAGTCCCTGCTATCCCTGCACCCTAAACCCTAAACCCCTAAACCCTAAACCCTAAACCGCGCACCCCTGGAGCACCTAAACACAAGGATTCATGCATTCGGGTAGTAGAATGCCTAAACCCTGAACCAAAAACTTGTGCTTCCCTGCTAGACCTCAGAGTAACCTAGGAAGAAAAAGGGTGCCCTTGTTGGTTTAAAGGGTGTTTATAAGGGAACCTAAACCCTAAAATAAGGGAATAAGGGCCTACTTTAGGTCCTAGTAAATTAAACCCTAAACCCTAAACTCCTAAACCCTGTCCCGAGGCCCCAAACTCCCTAACCTGTAGAATTATACCCTCAGACCCCTAAATCCGAAACCCTCCACAGAAATACCCATAAAGTTGCAAACCGGATTAAGGCCAAATAGTGCTGGGATTACCTATACATTACTCTTAAGGATTGAGGCTATTGGGTTTCTAACTTTGGGGCTTCTACTGTAATCCTAAACCGTAAATCCACATGGGAGTTTCCCATAATTAGGGAAACCTTATTTTGCAGTCCTTATTATAAGGATCCTACTATTTTGAGTACTCTATTAGGGTCCCCTATTAGCACCAGGCTTCCTAAGCTCCGGGCGAGTGCCGAAGCTCCGCGAGATGAACATCATCCTCCAAAAGGAGCTACAGTACTTGGAGGTTCATGGGCAGATATAAAGGTTCCTTTAAGGGTCCCACTTAAAGGGATATATAGGGATTTTATAAGGGTATAGGGTTTAGGGCCTACTTGGAGGTTCATGGGTAGTTATAAGTGCTGTTATAAGCAGGGTAACTATCATTATAACCCCTAGCAGGGGGACTTATACCCCCAGCTATAACTACCCATGAACCTCCAAAAGGGGATACGAGTCGGGGTGTAGCGTTTAGGGAATGAGGCTTCGCAGTCTTCTATCAGGCTTATTTGTCGTGTTTCTTCAGAACCCTCATATGGGTGGTTGTCAAAATTAGGGTCCCTTTTTGGGTAGCCCAAACTGGACCATAATTTTGACAACCACCCATATGAAGCCCATAGGACCGTTACAGAACGTAAGAGCTTCTAGGGCTACTAATGGAACTGTCGTCTGTTGTCTGCTGTGCCTCCTCGCCGCTCCTAGGTACTTGGGTTGTGGGTGGGTTTCAGGTTCTTTGGTGGGCTTAGGATTTTGGGGTGAGGGTTTCGGCCTTAGCGTTCAGGCAAAGCCCTTGACTCGACAGTAGGTCCGAGGTCCTGTTTCTGATCTCCAAACCGAAGGGATTGGGATGGGTCCCCACGTCGGTTGTAGAAACGCTTGGGCACGTGAGTCTCATTGCTCATGTTCTTGTTTAGGTCTTTGAGAGAGTTTGCACACAGGCAAAAAACTGGACAGCCCAACGTCCGAAAAGACCAGAACCTGGACCCCACCCCCGAAACTGAAGACCTTACTTGTCCGGCATCCTCTGAAAACTTAAGTTAAACCTCTGGGATTTGTGACCAAAAAGGTTAAAGGTTGCTTACCCTACTTCTGAGAAACCGCCACGTCTTCACATGGGAGATCCTCATTCACGATGTAGTGGATGGCCGATCGGTAGTCTCTGGCCTTCAAGGGTTTAGGCTGAAGGGTGGGGTTCAGCTCAGCTTTGGCAACATGTTGAAAGCTTGCTAGCAGCTGCGTCTCGTTATTGGTTGAGTCCGTCTGTCTCTGCCTGCCTGTGCTTCCTGCTCTTTGTCGCTGAGTACCTCTGTCCCTCTGCGTACCCAGAGATCCCATAACCCTTAACTAAGGTATATACCTTAAATCAACATATTAAGACCCTTATAACTTAAGGAAAATTCTTGAATTGAGGGGTATTGGGTTCTCTGGGTAGGTCTCTACGTGAGGCTTTCCCTAAACCCTAAACCCTAAACCCTGTGTGCCGCATGGGAGGAGGCAAGGACAAACCCATGTCGGGTTCCGGACGATGCTACCATCGACGCGGTCGCAAAGAGGTCCGCGCCAGGGTCTCGGCAGCTGTGGGAGTTTCCGAAAATTGGGGACCCCACTGACCTTACGAAGCCTTGCCACAGCCAGAGGCTCGTGCTTCGGGCATAATTAGGATCCGATGTGAAGGGTTGAGGTTCAATGTAGAGGGTGAAGGGTTTAGGGAAGACTCCGAAGCGGAACCCCGAACCGTAAACCCTGAAGGCCTGACAGCAACAGGCACGCACTCAGTGGTCGGCGCATAGCACTCACACTCCACTGGTTCGGGTCCGGCACAATGGCCCCGGTCTGGCGACAGAAATGCGTCGGTATCACTGCTTGAACCTCATGCCTGTAAATTACTACCTGTACATTATGAGTGGAATACTATGGAATACTATTACAACCTCACATATATATATATATATATATATACATATAGGCTTCCTCACAGACCCCTACTTTCCCCGGAGTTGAAGGGTCTACCTCAATTAACGAGCGGCTTACTCAATCTTCATACTGTGCTTTAGCTCGCTGGGTCAAGTGCAGGGATTCTCAGCCCGGGTGTTGAGCTGAAAGGGTAGGATCAGAGGGGCGAATGCTGGGCTGAAGCCTGGTGGAGCCTGGTGGACCCAGAAATTACACACGGTGCACGGTTAAACTGCTAAACCCTCAACTCAACCCTCAAGTCCCCTCAGGAAGCCCTTGAAACCCTGAAACCCTAAAACCCTAAACCCTAAACTTTAAATTTTAAAACCCTAAACCCTAAACCCTAAAACCCGAAACCCTAAACCCTAAACCCGAAACTCTAAAGATCCCTACAGTAGAAGCCAGACAGTTGGAATATCGTTATCGTAACCCCTTTAAGGTAAATTATAGGGGATCCTGCCATTAATCCATATTCCAACTTTCTGGAGTTCCCTTTAAACCCTGATCCGCCTTTATGAAACCTGCAGAAACTAGGGAGCGAGATCCTGGCCTTCGGCAGTACTCCCGGAACCGCTGGAGCCACCAAGCTGCATGGCTAGGCCTGACCCGCATTTGGGTGGTTGTGAAAATTAAGCCAAAAGGGGGGTTTAAGATTCTTGGGGTAGGGATTCCTGAATATGAACCCTATATTATGGGAACCCTAATCCCTACTAAACCCCCATATGGGTGGTTGTCAAAATTAGGGTCCCCTTTTTGGGCCCCTAATGCAGTACGGCACCTCTTATTTAGGGTACCCAAGAAGGGGACCCTAATCTTGACAACCACCCATTTGGGGCTTCAGGGCTTCACGGCATTGGAGTTTTGGGGAATCGGGGATGAGGATTGAGGGTTTGCTGGGTATTGGGTTTTAAGATACCCTAAACCCTAAACCTTAAACCCTCAACCCTAAACCGTGGTCTGGAGTCTGGAGCTGAGGGTTTCAAGCTATGAGCACTTGCACTCAGCGTTTGAGGACATGGGATCCTTCATGCCAAAATCCTCAAGTCCTCAAGACCGACCGTACACACAAAGGCCTGAGCCCAAAGCCTTTCAAAAACTGTTCAGAGTAAACCTTGCGCCGCAAACTGCAGGCCCTAAACTCTAAACCCTGAAGCCCTAAATGCTAAACCTTACACCATCTTAAACCCAATAGCCTAGAATGGTACCCCTGAACTTGAAACCCCCAACCCGTTAAACACAAGTCGCATGGTTCGGTGTTTAGGACTTACGGTTGAGGTTTAAGGTTTAGGGTTTAGGGGCTTGTAGGTCTAAAGTTTAGCTTCACAGCTTCGGGTTTAGGATTTAGATCCCAGATTTTAAGGGTAAAAAGAGGGACCCTTAATCAGGACCCTTAGGTATATACACTTAATATAGCTATTATATACCCATTATATAGCCCATTATAAGGTGGGGGTCCCTATAAACAGTCCCTCCGTTTCCCCTTGACAGATCTATTGACCTCGCAGTGCCCCTGTATCTGTAGCTAGGGCCTGGGAAAGTTTCGTTCGGAGCTGCGGTGGCTTCTGGGGCTTTAGGGCTACCCGACACCCCAAAGAAACCCTCAACCCGAAACCTGCTTACGATTGCCGGCCCCCTATACTGTCTCTACTCAGGACGCTCTAAGTGAAGCAAACTCTTCTATGCAAAGAATCTGCGGTGAATCCAAGCGCAACATGCCTGCAAGAGGGGCAGCGCGCCGAAGTGCCTTCGGCGAAAGCTCAGAGGGAAACATTGAACTAGGCAAATCAAAACCTTGAACCTTAAACATAGACCCTAGACTTAAAACCCGATTGGGTGGTTCCAAAGGACTAGTAGCTTGCCACAGCCTGTTCATGCGCAGGCCTTGGGGCTACAGGCAGGATGTAGGACGTGAGCAGGGCTGTCAAGATGGAACATCCGTGTTCAGCTTCCCGGAATCGCAAAATTTAAGGCTAAACCCGAATCGCTCAGTCCAAAAACAACCAATGAACTCCAAACGAAACTCCCAGAGATCCCAATACCCCTTAATTCAGGAATAAGCCTAAACCCATAAAACTAAGGCCTCTACAATTTAAGGCATATTCTTTGATTATGCGCTATTAGGTTCCCTGGGTTCTCTCACACAAGCACACACACACACTTGCAAACTCCATGGTGGGAGTAGCTAGAGCGATTTACTTCCTAATGCAGGTCGTCGTTAAGTCGTGTCGTGAGGATGAGGGTCCTGTCCTCTGTCGTCGTCAAATGCCGAGTAGTAGGGATAAGGGTCCTGTCCCTGGCATTATAATGTGGGGATAGGTCTCCGTCCCCAATGGCTGCCACTGCCACGGTCAAAGTGCGATGTCCGGGCAGGGCGTAAAGCGTTCAAAGTGCCAAGTAGTAGGGATTGGGTTCCGTCCTTGGCACATCGGGGATATGGCTTCTTTCCCCTTGCAGGTACGTTACAGCACCTTGCTATCAGGCTCTTCGTTGGCCATTCCCTGATAGCAAGGCTGAATGGCCCCCTGCGGATGTGGTCCCTTTGCTATCAGGGCTGTACACACACAGCTACTTCCCAATTTTTGGGAAGTAGCATGCAATTCGTCGTCTGGGGGTCACCATGACGTTTCGCAGGTCAACGCCGCAGCCACGTTATGGTGCCCTTGAAAAAACGCGTCGTCTGGGGTAAGGGTCCTGCCCCATTGAGGCTTGGGTCCTGGCCTCATGCGATCAAGGAATCAATCAAGGAATCAATCAAGTTGAAAAGAATGAAGGAATCAATCAAGGTGAAAAGAATCAAGGAATCAATCAAGTGAACAACGGCATGCAGGAATTTGTCAAATCAAGACACTTCATGCAAGGTCTCGATCAATTGAACCAAGTAATGAATCAAGTTGCTACGCCCGGCCCTTTGACAGAATGCCGGTCGAGAACACACTTGCAAACTCCATGGTGGGAGTAGCTAGAGCGATTTACTTCCTAATGCAGGTCGTCGTTAAGTCGTGTCGTGAGGATGAGGGTCCTGTCCTCTGTCGTCGTCAAATGCCGAGTAGTAGGGGTAAGGGTCCTGTCCCTGGCATTATACTGTTCGGATAGGTTTCTGTCCCCGGAGCCAGACATAGAGAATGGCTGCCACTGCCACGGTCAAAGTGCGATGTCCGGGCAGGGCGTAAAACGTTCAAAGTGCCAAGTAGTAGGGATTGGGTTCCGTCCCTGGCACATCGGGGATATGGTTTCGGTCCCCTTGCAGGTACGTTACACCACCTTGCTATCAGGCTCTTCGTTGGCCATTCCCTGATAGCAAGGCTAAATGGCCCCCTGCGGATTTGGTCCCTTTGCTAGTACACACACACGCACACACACACACACACAGACGCGGAACATCGTGGTAAACGCCCCTATGATAACATCCGGAACCCCCTAGACCGTAAACCCGAAACTCATGACCCTGAACTCTCAACCCCAAAATCCCCCAACAGCCCTCAAACCCTAGTTCCCCTAGCCGCGGAGATCCCTGCCCAAGGGATCCTCCTTCGGAGAGTCGTGTACGGGTCCCTCCCCGGGGTTCAGAGAAGTTGTCTTGGTTGATGGATTGGTTGATCTAGACCCAAGAGTAACCTAGGAAGAAAAAAGTGCCCTTTTTGGTTTAAAGGGGCTTTTGAGGGAACCTGGACCCCAGAAAAAGGGAATAAGGGCCTACTCTAGGTCCTAGTGATTGGTAGGGTGGTAGGTTGGGTTGGTCGGTCGGTGGGTCGCTTGGTTGGCGAGTTGCTCGTCGGTCGCTTGGCCTGCTGGCTAGCAGCCGGCTTTGGGCCCTTGAGTCTTGACCGACAGACCGACCATGGGAGTTTCCGAAACCAAGGGGCCCTAATAGAGTACCCAAAATAGTAGGATCCTTGTTAAAAGGACCCCAAAAAGAAGGTTCCCGCTAATTGTCGGAAACTCCCACACGTTTGTTATTTCCGGTCTTCTCAAAGTCGACAAAAACTCGCTGGGCGGGGTCGAACCCAGCTGACCGGGGCTGGGGGCGGGGTCGAACTGGGGGATGCTCTGGGCCCGGCTGGGCTGGGGTGAGTGGGTTGTAACGGTTGATGATATAAATCCTGCATGACCCATAATAAGGAATATACCATAACTCCCATAGTTTAGGGTCATTAAGGTCATGCAGGATTTATATCATCAACCGAAGAACTGGTCGTGAAAACATACAACTTTCATTGATTCTCGTGGTGATTTAGGGCTGGCAATTTATTATCCCAGTGGTCCTTGTGCAAAGCACTGTTCTACTTTTCCTGGGTTCACTGTAGCCCCTAAACCGGAAGCCCTACACAATTGCATTTCGACCCTGCCTAAACCCCAAATCTTAAACCCTAAACCCCCAAACCCCAAACCCTAAACCCCCTGATCTCATCTACACCCCTCTCTGGGAGCACCCGACCCATTGCACTCGCAATCGGCGCTGGAGCATCTCTTCGGCTGTCTGATGGTCAAAGGTTTTGGCTGGGTACGACCCCCACTCAGTAGTAGTTGAATACTTTTCATAATTATACATATATTAGGACCTTAATAGTAGCCCTCCTATAGATTCATACTGTATGGGGGCAGTACCTAAAGTTTTGGGTTCATGGGGTCGGGGGGTTTAGGGTTTAGGGTTTTGGGCTCCATGGGGTTGGGGGTACAGGGGGCGTTTATGGGGTCAGGGGTGACGGAGTTGTTTGGTTTGGTTGAACTCTTATGGGGTTTGGGGTTTAGGGGTAGAGTTAAGGGTTTAGGGTTTACGGGCGAGTTAAAAGCCAAGATTCCCTGAGTAAACAACCAGACAACCTAGCAGGGAGGTGCAAGGTCTGGGTTTCGGCTTTGGAGTTTGATCTGCTGGTTCGCTTTACTGAGTTGTCCTTTAAGCCCTTTGAAAAATATTTACTATTATGGTTCTCTACAATTTAAACAGTAGGGAAAATTAAAAGATCCCAAAGGACAACCCGGTTAACTTAAAGGTGCTTGATTCTTTGGGGCAACTCCGCTTGCAGGCTTGGAGTTTGACGTCGAGACAGGGCCTCAATCCTTAGACTAGGGCTTCGGTGGAGATTTTACTACAGTCATTATTTTTATTTTATTTTTTTTTTTTTTTTTTTGGGGGGGGGGGGGCTGTAGGGAAACCCTAAACCCTATCAAACCCTATCAATTACTATTCAAACCCATATATAAGTCGCCTGGGGCTTCTGAACTCGATGGAACCAAGCTTTTCGAGCTTTAAGCCTCGGGGTGGGGTTCGGGACACTTTGGCACTAATATTGTGGTTTTAGGGTTTAGGGTTTGGGACACCGTGGGGGGGGGGGGGGGGTCTGAATAATTGGTGTAATGTTCTCATGTTTCTAATCTAAAGGCTAGGCAACTGTGATACGCCCCAAGAGTTCGTTCCAAAGCGTCCAGGCCTTCTACTTATCTTTTGGGGTTCAGGCGGATCGAGTGCAAGGCATGGTAATCCTAAACCCTAAACCCTAAACCCCTGCAGCTCCGGTTGAGGGTTTTGGGTTCAGGGTTGAAGGTTCAAGGCTCAGACTTCAAGTTTGGGCCACGGGTTGAGGCTGTGGGTCGAGTAGTTGAGGGCTCATGGGACTTAGTAAGTAAGGTTATAAGTAGGTTATAATTAGGATAACCCCACTTAGGGGACTTATAACCCCCATTATAACCTACTTACTAAGTCTCATGATCCTCTAAGTAGTTGAGTCTCTCTGATTCCCGCCTTGAGACACCAGCCCTGTGCTGGAACCGGAAGCGCTGATCCGTAAGCACAAGGGCAGGTTTTTGATTTTGGAAGCTTTGAGCACTTACCTACAGTCTCCAGCGTAGTTCCGTTTGTTGGTTTAAATTAAACCAGTTGCATATTCAAGATATTGAAAAGTAAACCCAAAAACATAACTACAGTGGAGACTTTAGCTGATTCAAGGTTGAGAGACCCAAATGGTCCAAAGTACCCATAGAGTAGACTGTTATGATTTGGGGAAGTATTCCCCGTAAACCCTAAACCCTGAGGGGAAGTATTCCCCATAACAGTACCTGGGACCCTTTGGGAGATGCCCTGTGAGCCGGGTGTCCCTGCAAGGCCCAAGGACTCCAAGGGAAGCCTCAGCGGAAGCTCTTCTGAAAGCGGCTATAGGGCTTTAGGGCTTCAGAGGTTAGGGTCCATACATATACGTGTATATACATATATATATATATATATGTATATATACATATATATATATATATAAGGGCCGTAGAGTTGTAGGGTGGAGAGTTTTGGGCTACAGGGATTTATTTTAGGCTACGTAGAATGATTCCGGGGTTTAGGGGGCCTCGGTGAGGTTGATACGTACGGATTTAGGGCTCGGGGGGTTCGCTGTGGTTTCGTTGGTTGTAACTTGCTGGTGGAGGCTAGTTGAGCCGCAGAATATAGAAGTTTGAATATTTAGTAAGAGTACCACCGTAATCCCTATATGAATATATAAATGTGCATATACACATCTTAAAGCCACCGGTGGCAGCAACATTTAGAGCATGCGTGTTCTTCCTACTTGGAGGCCCAAGGGACTTAGTAAGTAGGTTATAAGTAGGGTTATAAGTACCCTAAATGGATTAACAAGTAGGTTATAAGTAGGGTTATATTTGCGGTAACTCCATTTAGAGTACTTATAACCCTACTTACAACCTACTTACTAGGTCCCCTGGGCCTCTAAGTACCTCTCTTCTTCAACAACCGGGTCCCAAAAAGTTCAAACTTTCAAAAATAGAGCTAATATATAAGGCCAAAAAGTTTAAAGTTTAAAGTTCCCCCGTTCACTATCTAAGGTACTGAACCTGCAGAGCGAAGCCTGAACTACAGCCTTGAACTCAAGCTCCACCTGCCCAAACCTATAGGGATTTAGGAGGGATCTATGGGGGTTGGGGATCTATAAGGACATAGTTACAGGGGGTCTTTAGAGATTCGTAGGAGATCGAAAGAAGGCCGAAATTAAGACGATCCGGGTTTTCACAACAAGAATAAGGGTTCCTGTAAAGGGTCCTATAAAGGATCCATAATAGGGCTCTATGATGTAGGGGTTTCAAAAATGTTGAATAGGGTTTTGGGGCCATTCTGCTATAATTATACTAAGGAACCCCCAAGTTAGTATTGGTAATTATGATTTAGGCCCCTATGTTAAGTCCTATAACCCCTCATCCACACCCCTCCATCCCGAGACTACAAACACAGTAGAGGGGCCTGAATAATAGTGATTTGGGGTTATTCATTCCACAAAAACTAGATCATAGAACCCTATAGGAATGCTGTTCGTAATTTTCATGCCCCTATATTGAGAACCTGAGCTGAGTCACTTGCCCTTGGCTTGGGCAGCTCATCTCAGCCTCTGCATTGTGAGAAAGCTGTGGAATCTCACGGATTTCAATGAGGTCTGGGGCTGGGGCTGCATGCAAGCCCGAGGTTGGCTTCGGGGCTGGGGCGGATTTCGAGCTCGAAGGTTTGTGGGGTTTTGGCTTGTACTTGAAATCCCCAGAGAACCCAATACCCCTTAATTAAGAAATGTACCTTAAGTTATAAGGGTCTTAAGGTTTGTGGGGTTTTGGCTTGTACTTGAAATCCCCAGAGAACCCAATACCCCTTAATCAAGAAATGTACCTTAAGTTATAAGGGTCTTAATACTATGATCGAAGGTATATTCCGCAATCAAGGGGTATTGGGATCTCTGGGAACGTTGACAAAGACATCAGGGGTATTGGGATCTCTGGGAACGTTGACAAAGACATCTCGAAGCGTCCAGCGTGACAACCACTTGCGCCCAAAGACCCGATCTTCTCAACACTGCTGAATTTCCATCTGCACCGGGTGAACCTCGCTTCTACCCAAACAAACTTCAGATCCTACGACATCCTAAGCCCTCACCTACCTTTGGTTAGTAGGGATGGAAGAATGGTCGTAATGGTAGTTATAATTGTACGCCATTCCTCCATTCCCTACTAACCAAAGGTAAGCTCAAGATTAAACTGCGGACCCTGAAGCGGAAGCCCTGAACACCCTCATTAAAGAATCTTGACAGAAACCCGAATCACCGAAATCCAAAACTTCCTACCCTCCAAAACCCTCAGTCTCAAACCCTACACCCTAAACCCCAAAGCCCTAAAACCTAATCTCTGCAGATAACCCTAAAGCCCTCAAATCCCAAAGCCCCTAAACAACCTAATCTCTGCAGATCACCCTAGACCCTAAAACCCCAAAGTCCTAAAAAACCTAATCTCTGCAGATCACCCTAGACCCTAAAACCCCAAAGTCCTAAAAAACCTAATCTCTGCAGATCACCCTAAACCCTAAACCCCAAAGTCCTAAAAAAAACCTAATCTCTACAGATCACCCTAAACCCTAAAACCCCAAAGTCCTAAAAAACCTAATCTCTGCAGATCACCCTAGACCCTAAAACCCCAAAGTCCTAAAAAACCTAATCTCTGCAGATCACCCTAAACCCTAAACCCCAAAGTCCTAAAAAAAACCTAATCTCTACAGATCACCCTAAACCCTAAAACCCCAAAGTCCTAAAAAACCTAATCTCTGCAGATCACCCTAGACCCTAAAACCCCAAAGTCCTAAAAAACCTAATCTCTGCAGATCACCCTAAACCCTAAACCCCAAAGTCCTAAAAAACCTAATCTCCGCAGATCACCCTAGACCCTAAAACCCCAAAGTGCTAAAAAAACCTAATCTCTACTGGCCTCCCTAGACCCTAAACCCCAAAGTGCTAAAAAACCTAATCTCTGCAGATTGCTGGCCTCCAGAACACTCCGGAGTCCCCCCGCAACGAGGCTGGCACAGACGGCCGGAGGCGACGCAGAGGCGGTCTGCCGGATTAACTGAGGGGCTTAGGGTTTCCGTTAAGGGCCTAAGGTCTACTGTTTAGAGTGTCTTTTAAGGGTTCCTTTCAGGGTTCCTAGATTCTACGTGGCTTCCAGGGGTCAAGGATTTGAGGAGTTTACAAAACATGTGCCGTGTCAGCACTGTCGAATGCCACACTGGAACTTGGCACCGACATCCGAATTCTTGATGGCCCTAAACCCTAAACCCTAAACCCATTGATGGCTTGCTTACACCGAGCCTTAGCCCAGGACCTGTAGACCATCGCTCCCACGTTGATAGGTCTAGTTTCAGAACATCAGTCAGTCGGTCTTGGAACAAAGCAGACCCGCCACGGTCTCGGCCAAACCCTCGTGGTCTCTGCAGTCACTGTCTCCGTGAATCGACGCCACAGCGTTTCGGGCAGTTTGAGCCGGGCCTTTGTTCCCAGTTGTCTAAGCCACGCGCTTGACCCTAAGCCCTAAACGCTAAACCCCTAAACCCCTAAACCCCAAACCCTTATTATACCCTTAAACCCTAATTAAACCCTAAACCCTAAACCCTGAAACCCTTGAACCCTTAAACCCTTAAACCCTTAAACCCTTAAGCCCCAAACCCTTGGGATTTTCATGGTTCCACATGGGGCCTGTTGGTTAGGAGTTTAAGGCATGTTGGATTTGGGGTGTCCGGGTTTGGGTGTTGATTTATAAGGCATTGGGGTCATAGGGCTTTTGCGGATGTGGGGCTTTAGGAACTTCGGAGTTGAAGACACTGGGTGTTGGGAGCCAGGGATCTAGGGTTAGTGTTTTTTAACCTACAATGGCGGCCTGGGTTAGTGGTTTAGGGTTTAGGGTTTATGGGTTTAGGGGTTAGAGTAGTTTAGGGTTTGGGGGTTTTGGGTTTGGGGGTATCTTCGTCGAACCTTGACAGACCCTGGAGTCTGTCGGCAGGCTGTCTTTTATGTTCAGCGTCCGGGGCGTTTAGGTGCAGGGTTGAGGTGTTGAGGTGGGCATTTGGGTGGTCGTCAAAATTATGGTCCCTTTTTGGGTCCTTAATATAGCACGGCACCTATTATTTAGGGTACCCACAAAGGGATCCTAATTTTGACAACCACCCATTTAAGGGGCCTACGAGGTGCTCTGGCAGTCAAAGGTTTGGGTGCAGCATGCTTTTGGCGATCGACTCTCACAAACAAAAACCGAAAGTACAAAGGTGGCCTTAATAACTAGACCTAAGAGTAACCTAGGAATAAAAAGGGTGCCCTTTTTGGTTTAAAGGGGGTTATAAGAGAACCTAAACCCTAACAAAAAGGGAATAAGGGCCTACTCTGGGTCCTAGAAAAAACGAAAGCACAAGGGTGGCCTTAATAACGAAATCGGGCTTTTGTGTTCTACTATAGCATAAGCACAACTGACAAGAAACCCCAAAGACTTAGAGTACGACAAATTACTCCGACCCCTATACCAGCCCGAATCGCGAACCAGAAACCCTTAACCCTAAACCCCCAAATCCTCGACTTGAGCAGGTGCCGACCTGCTTGGGCGGAAGTGCCCCAAGACCCAGCCAGCGGTGGTCCGGAGCAGCAAGCTGCACGAAAATTCAGGGTCTAGGGTTTTTAGAGTATAGGTTTACATGGAGTTTTCGAGTTTTACTTTGGGGTTTCGGGTATAGGATTTACTGTTGATGCTGATTGAGCTTCAGGATCATGGGGTGAGGGCTTCAGCATTTAGGTTAGGGCTTAGGGCTCAAGCTTCGAGGTGAGAGGGTTGTTGTCTCGGATGTACGGTTAAGCCCAAAGAGCCCAATACCCCTTCATTATGGAATATAGCTTAAATCATACAAGGCTTCATATTATGATTTAAGCTATATTCCTTAATTAAGGGGTCTTGGGCTCTCTGGGAGCACTTGTGTTCGGGGTTTGCGGTCAGCCTGCGCCAAGGCTTAGGAAGCCGGCTTTTAGAGGTATGGTGCAAGACTGCGGCGGTTTAGGGTTTAGGTTAAAGGGTATGTAGTGTATATAGGGTGCATAGGATATAGAGGGTATATAAGGTGTTTCGAGTTTATCTGGGTATACAAGGCATGTAAGGCATATAGGGTATGTGGGGGATTTAGGGTTAACGCTTAGGGACTGGAAGTCCGTGTACAAAGGAGGTTCTTGCGGGTAGGTCAGGGCCGCTGAAAGAGTACTTGGAGGTTCATGGGTAGTGTTAAGGGTTCCTTTGAGGGTGGTGTAGGGTTTAGGGCTTTCTTGGAGGTTGACGGGTAGTTATGTGGAAATCTAAGTAGGGTACATATAAGTATAACTCTGATTAGGGAACTTATAACCCAATTTGTTGCTACCCATGAACCTCCGAGTAAGCCCGAGAAATCCGATCTGAACATGGCTCAGAAGAGCAATTGAACTCGAAAAAGAGAAACGTTCGCCCGCTCCGCATGAACACCTGCATGAATGTTGTCGTCTACATAGTCTTCCAGCATTCAAGCCTGAACCCTAAACCCTGAACCCCAAACCCTAAACCCTAAACCCCAAACCCTAGACCTTAAACCCTAAACCCCCAAACCCTAGACCTTAGACCCTGAACCTGAAATCAATAATTTGCTTTCCCGATTCCAATCCCCTTGGCACCTGTTCCAAGGAGAGGAGGAAAGGCGCAGCCGGTGAGCAAAACCAACCCCGACGCCAGGCCTTGCACTGGCTTTTGGGGTGTCGTGGCTTATTTTGGTTTAGAGGGTTTAGGGTTTAGGGCTTATTTTGGTTTAGAGGGTTCAGGGTTTACGGCTAATTTTTCTTTACAGGGTTTAGGGTGTAGGGCTTATTTTGGTTTCTAGGGTTCAGGAAGTGGCAAGAACAGACACAGGTGATAACAGAAAAACAAACAAATGATAAACCGTCATGTTGGGGATCTCCAGCCCCTGCAGCAAAAAAACATCTGCTAGCTATAGCGTGTTTCGGGGGCGCAAGGTTTAGCAAGGCACCGTCAGTCAAATCAAGGACCTTTCTAACAATGCAAGGGGACTAAGCCCCAGTTCGCAGGCTTAGGGAAACGAACGCTTCGATGGGCTTTAGGATACAAGTCCTTGGGGCTGTTCTAACGGGTTGTCATGGTGATTACAGTGGTTGTCAGGTTTTGGGTTTTCGAGTTTGGCCTGGTTTTGACACTTCAGGGCCAGTCAGGTAACGGTGTGGGACTTGGACAATGTGCATGTCCTCCACTGGGCGTTCGGCCAGTCTTCTTTCGGGTCCGTCCTCCATAGACTGCACATTACCTTGGGGTCCAAAAATGTGCGGTCGTATCCATTACACCGGTAGCCCTGAAACCACGACATGGAACTGTCTCGGCCAAAAGCGGCGCTTTTCCCTCCCGCGGCCCAAGCAGAGGATGCAGAGGTGGAAGATGCCACAAAAGCTTCGAGAGTGCAACTGTGCTGCCATCGTTCGTATGCTGCAGACATCTACTATAGGGGCCTTATTAATTAGAATAGGGCTTTTGGGCCCAGTATACTATGACTATAATAAGGAACCCCCAAGATCGGGTAGGTAATTATTACGGCCCCTATACTAAACCCGCATAATACCCCATATAGTAATCCTTATAGCCCCTCTAAACGGAACCCTTTAAAGGAACCTTATTCTATAATTATACTAAGGCCCCTATATTACCGTTGCCTCTTCGAGGCGCTGAGCTCAGCGGTGTGGCACCGTCTCTTTGTTGAGAAGTTGGCACCGGCATCCAGGAGCCTAGTTCATGGTTGCGATAAGATTTTAAATTCAAGTTTTTTATTCCTTATTGGGTTTAAGTACCCATAAAAATGTAAAATGTTACCCAACTATGACAAAGGAGCGCTTCCAACACTTCTGCCTCTCCACACTCAAAAGCTAGCATCAGGGCGGTGCTGCCATCCTTTTTTGCGAAATTCTTGTCTGCGCCGGCATCCAGCAGCATGCGAACGATCTCAACGTGACCTTTGCGACAAGCTGCCATCAGGACCGTGTAACCGCTGTTGCTTGCAAAGTTCTTGTCTGCGCCGGCATCCAGCAGCATGCGAACAACCTCAGCATGACCTTTGCAAGAAGCTGCCATCAGGGGTGTGGTGCCATTGTTGTTTGCAAAGTTCTTGTCTGCGCCGGCATCCAGCAGCATGCGAACAACCTCAGTGTGACCTTTGCAAGAAGCTGCCATCAGGGGTGTGGTGCCATTTTTGTTTGCAAAGTTCTTGTCTGCGCCGGCATCCAGCAGCATGCGCACGACCTCAACATGACCTTTGCAAGAAGCTGCTATCAGGGGCGTGGTGCCATTGTTGGCGGCCAAGTGATTATCCGCACCTGCAGCCACCAGCAAACGAACAACCTCAGCACGGCCTTGGTCGGAAGCTACCATCAAAGCCATGATGCCGTCGTCGTTTGCCCAGTTCATACAGGCACCTGCATCCAGCAACAAATGGACAACCTCGACGTGACCTTCGCCAGAGGCTACCATCAATGCCGTAATTCCATTCTTGTTTGTCAAGCTCGTATCGGCACAGGCATCCAGCAGCGCACGAACAATTTCAACGTGGTCATTTCCGTCGAAGCTAGCATCAGAGCAGTGTTGCCGATAGTGCAGGCTACATTCTGGCCGGCATCTTCATCCAACAACAAACGAACAACCTCAATGTGGCCTCCGCCAGAAGCTGCCATCAAGGCTGTGATGCCATCGTTGTTCGCCAACTTCTTGTCGGCACCGGCAGCTAGCAGCATGCGCACAACCTCAACATGGCCTAAGTAAGAAGCTGCCATCAGGGCAGTGTCGCCGTTGAGGTTGGCCACATTCTTGTTGACACCTGCATCCAGCAGCAAACGAAGGACTTCAATGTGTCCTTCTTGACAGGCTAGCTTCAGGGCCGTGTTGCCAGCGTTGTTTGCAAAGTTCCTGTCAGCACATGCATCCAGTAACAAACGAACAACCTCAACACGGCCTTCTCCAGAAGCTAGCGTAAGGGCAGTGTCTCCGTTGTTGTTTGTCAAGTTCTTTTCGGCACCTGCATCGAGCAGCATACGAACGACTTCAACGTGAACTTCTTCGGCAAAAGCCATCATCAGCGCAGTATGGCCGGCAGTGCTGGCGAGGTTCTTTTCCGCACATGCATCCAGTAACAAACGAACAACCTCAATGCGGCCTTGGAAGCAAGCTGATATCAGGGCCGTGACGCCGCGCTCGTTTGCCAAGTTCTTGTCTGCACCGGCGTCCAGCAGCATGCGAACAACTTCAACATGGCCTGTTCCAGAAGCTAGCATCAGAGCGGTGCTGCCGGTAGCGCTAGCTAAATCAGGCTAAATCCTTGCTGGCATCTGCATCCAGCAACAAACGAACAACCTCAATGTGGCCTGTGCCAGAAGCTACCATCAAGGCCGTCCTGCCATCGTTGTCAGCCAAGTCCTTTTCAGCGCCAGCATTCAGCAGAGCGCGCACAACCTCAACATGGCCTGCGTAAGAGGCTGCCGTCAGGGCAGTGTGACCATTGTTGCTTGGCAAGTTCTTGTCTGCACCGACATCGAGCAGCACGCGCAGGACCTCAACGTAACCCTGCAGAGAAGCAGCCATTAGGGCCGTGTTGCCATCGTTGTTTGCCACGTTCGGGTTGGCATCGGCCTCCAGCAGCAGTCGGAGAATTTCCACATGGCCGTATGCTGAAGCTGCCAGCAGCGGACTTACCCCATGCACATCTGCCATGTCCGGGTCTTGGGGTAGCTGCAGCATGGCCTCAACCTGGGATGACTTTAGGAATTATGATCATTACTATTTAAGTAGTTAAAATTACGATAAATTATTGCTATTCTGGGATGGGCTTTGGCAGCCCTGAAAATTATTTATGGATCCGGGCTGTTTTTGTGCATCCATGTGAATGCAACACCAAGCAGCAATCACTCACTCTTTTTCTCCCGCGATCATGTGGAATGTGAACAGTGGTAACAAGAAAAATGCGACACTGACACTGGCAGCTCAGACGATGGTGGCCTGCAGGAGCAGGCAGAAACCAAAATCTGGCGTGACACTCTGACAATGGAAGCATTTGACACTCATTCTGTGTGGCCAGTACAATAACACACCCAATGCGCACCCCTCCATGCCTGCTCAAAGTTGACACTGATTTCCAGCTGGTAGGCCTGACATAATAGAAACACGTGACACTCATTCTGTGTGGCCAGTACAATAACGCACCCAAGACGCACCCCTCCATGCCTGCTCCAAGTTGACACTGATCTCCAAGACGAAGGCCTGCCATAGTGGATGCATTTGACACTCATTCTGTGTGGCCAGTACAATAACGCACCCAATACGCACCCCTGCCTGCCTTGTCACAGTTGACACTGATCTCCAGCTGGTAGGTGTGTCAACTTTGAGCACGCATGGAGGGGGCCTATTGGGTCCCAACACACACCCTCCATGCCTGCTCAAAGTTGACACTGATGTCCAGCTGGTAAGCCTGACATTAAGGAGCAATTGACCGGCCAGTACAATAACGCACCCAATACGCAAACCTGCCTGCCTTCTCCAAGTTGACACTGATGTCCAGGAGGAGGACCTGACTTTAATGGATTGACACTCATCGACATCCACTGCACCGTAACTGCTTGTCGACATGGTGACACTTGGCAGAGGAATCATCAACCAAAACAGAGTAGCACCAGCCAGGCGGCGAGCGGCTCATTCAGACCTTGACCACTCGAGCAGCTTGACGGTCTGTCAAACTGCTCGAGGAGTCAAGGTCTGAGAGAGCCAGCTGACACTTCATTCCATGACAAAGCAGACGGTAAGCCTGACATAACGGAATCACTTGACACTCGTTCTGTGTGGCCAGTACACTAACGCACCGAACACGCACCCCTCCATCCGTGCCTTCTCTAAGTTGACACTGATGCCCAGGAGGAAGACCTGACTTTAGTGAACTGTCGTCGACATGGTGACACTTGGCAAACTTAAAGGTATCATCAACCAAAACAGAGTCATAGCACCAGCCATGCGGCGAGCGGCTCATTCAGACCTTGACCACTCGAGCAGCTGGACGGTCTGTCCAACTGCTCGACGAGTCAAGGTCTGAGCGAGCCAGCTGACACTTCATTCCATGACAAAGCGAATGGTAAGCCTGACATAATGGAAACATGTGACAATCATTCTGTGTGGCCAGTACAATAACGCACCCAATTCGCACCCCTCCATGCCTGCTCAAAGTTGACACTGATTTCCACCTGATAGGCCTGACATAATGGAAGCATGTGACACTCGTCATTCTGTGTGGCCAGTACAATAACGCACCCAATTCGCACCCCTCCATGCCTGCTCCAAGTTGACACTGATTTCCAGCTGGTAGGCCTGACATAATGGAAGCATGTGACACTCATTCTGTGTGGCCAGTACAATAACACACCCAATGCGCACCCCTCCATGCCTGCTCAAAGTTGACACTGATTTCCAGCTGGTAGGCCTGACATAATAGAAACACGTGACACTCATTCTGTGTGGCCAGTACAATAACGCACCCAAGACGCACCCCTCCATGCCTGCTCCAAGTTGACACTGATCTCCAAGACGAAGGCCTGCCATAGTGGATGCATTTGACACTCATTCTGTGTGGCCAGTACAATAACGCACCCAATACGCACCCCTGCCTGCCTTGTCACAGTTGACACTGATCTCCAGCTGGTAGGTGTGTCAACTTTGAGCACGCATGGAGGGGGCCTATTGGGTCCCAACACACACCCTCCATGCCTGCTCAAAGTTGACACTGATGTCCAGCTGGTAAGCCTGACATTAAGGAGCAATTGACCGGCCAGGACAATAACGCACCCAATACGCAAACCTGCCTGCCTTCTCCAAGTTGACACTGATGTCCAGGAGGAGGACCTGACTTTAATGGATTGACACTCATCGACATCCACTGCACCGTAACTGCTTGTCGACATGGTGACACTTGGCAGAGGAATCATCAACCAAAACAGAGTAGCACCAGCCAGGCGGCGAGCGGCTCATTCAGACCTTGACCTTCGAGCAGCTTGACGGTCTGTCAAACTGCTCGAGGAGTCAAGGTCTGAGAGAGCCAGCTGACACTTCATTCCATGACAAAGCAGACGGTAAGCCTGACATAACGGAATCACTTGACACTCGTTCTGTGTGGCCAGTACACTAACGCACCGAACACGCACCCCTCCATCCGTGCCTTCTCTAAGTTGACACTGATGCCCAGGAGGAAGACCTGACTTTAGTGAACTGTCGTCGACATGGTGACACTTGGCAAACTTAAAGGTATCATCAACCAAAACAGAGTCATAGCACCAGCCAAGCGGCGAGCGGCTCATTCAGACCTTGACAGCTCGAGCAGCTTAACGGTCTGTCAAACTGCTCGAGCTGTCAAGGTCTGAGCGAGCCAGCTGACACTTCAGCCATGACAAAGCGA